TTGTCACTTGGGAGATTTGACAATTTGATAGTGGGTTTCAAAAGAGAAAAGCTGATTTCTTCCCCAGTGTGGTGCTGCAATCTAAATGAACCAGAGGGGGAAGGTAGAAATTGACATTTTTGTTACAATGTAGATTTATAACAAAACCTTTGTAAATCTCAAAGTCTTTGGAAGCCTAATTCATCATATGAATAATGGTATATGAAACAACAGTAACCTATTTTCTTTATATTTCAAATAATTTTTACAGAAAACACAAACTATCAAACATTTATTTGTAGCTTGGAAAATGTATAAAGTTTTGAAGTTTTTGTATAGCTTTTCTATAGAAAGGGGAGGCAATGGCCTAGAAGTATTATCACTAGACTATTAATCTGGAAACTCAGTTGATGTTCTGGGACCCTGGTTCAAATCCTGCCATGGCAGATGGTGGAATTTGAATTCAATTATCCGGAAGTAGGAGTCTAATGGTGGCCATGAAACCATCCCTAGTTGTTGGGGAAAAACCTATCTAGTTCACTAATGTCCTTCAGGGAATGAAATCTGCCATTCTCACTTGGTCTGGCCTACATGTGACTCCACACCCACAGCAATGTGGTTGACTCTCAACTGCTCCCTGAAATAGCCTAGCAAGCCACTCAGTTTAAAGGCAACTCGGGACAGGTAATAAATGTGGGCCATCCAGCTACCCCCACGATCCACAAGTGAATTGAATCAAAAATGTAATGTTTACGATAGAAATAGTCATTTATAATACAGCACTTCAGTATTTCTGTACATGGAAACATTTTGTCTCAACTTTGCACCTCGCATTCATTTGCGCATTCACAAAAGTAAAGTGGAACAATATTTTACACTGAATGAGAAGGGAGTGATGATAGATTGGCAAGTAGGCTCTGGTTAGTAGAGGCATTGCAAGGGAGAATGCACCAGTTAGATGATGACTGACAGTTAACTGTCAAACTTTGTTTAAATTTAAACGAAGCAAGTTTATTTGAATTCGCTAAGACATTGCCATGAGGAATGATCCAGTGAATGGCTGATGCCTGTTTTGTTCGGTTGAAACAGGTGCAATCTGTGTCTATGTTCTTTCTGTTTCTAATGAACATCATACTTTGTATTAATTTTTTTTATTCCTTCATGTGACACAGCCATTGCTGGCAAGTCCAGAACCTGTTGCCCATCCTTCCCTAAAGGACATTAATAAACCAGATGGGGTTTTCCTGACAGTCAACACTGGATTCATGGTCATCATTAGACTCTTAATTCCAGAAATTTATCGAATTCAAATTCCACCAGCTGCTGTGGCAGGATTTGAAACCAGGTCCACAGGACGCTATCTGGGTCTCTGGATTAACAGTCCAGTGATGATACCACTAAGCCATTGCCTCCCCTTAATTGCCCTTGAACCAAGAGGCTTGCCAGACCTTGGCAGAGGGTAATTAAGGGTTGACCACATTGCTGTTTGGTCCAGATTCACATATACACCTGGTAAGGATGGCAGATAACCTTTACAAAAGGGCATCAGTGAATATGATGGGTTTTATAATAATTGCTGGTAGTTATCATGGTCACCTATACAGAGGCTACCTTTCAATTCCAGACTTGATCAATTGAATTTAAATTGTACCAGATGATGAGCTGAGATTTGAACTAAGGGCATTTGCCTGAGTCTTTGGATTGCTAGTCTGGTATTACCTCTTCACCATCAAAAGTATTAAAACACATGGGTATGAATCCAAAGTATCACATAGTGGATTATGGTCTATGGAAATGTCATGGATTAGGAATCCCAAAACACTACTAAATATTGCACCAAAAATCCATTGGTATATATAGCTAAAAATGAAGTCAAATTTATTCAAAAATCTTAAACCAATGGAAATAATATGCAGGTTAAAAAGAAACCTAAACTATCATGGAACAAAATGCCCTTTAGGGCAAGAAATTTGCTATCCTAACCTGGCCTGACTCCATACTCACCTCAATGTGGTTGACTCTTACCTGCCCTCTGGGCAATTATGGATGGACAATGAATGATGACTCAGCCAACAATGCCCACAAATGAACAATGAAAACTTGTGGATTGTTTACAACCCTAATAAACTATCTTGCAATGGTTCTCCAGGAAGCAGAAATGTATATTTTTCCCTTGAAGACAACAATTAATCATATCACGGGCACATCTCTTTAAAAAACTGCATTAGCAACAGGATTCCAACACTATTAACAAAGAAACATGACATTTTGTGACTATTTACAGTGCTTTTTGATGGGAATGCTGCACACTGCAGAATACACTGATACAATCCCGTAAGCCTGTTTAATGAAATGCTCCCTTCTGTAATAAAGCATTAACAAGAAAACAGGGATAATTCTAAACTTCTCTTTAATATAATTTCTGTGAGGAGGGAAAGAAGGAACAAGAGTCTGTACAAAGAGCCTGAACAGAATCCTAACTGCTTTAGAATCTTTCCATTGGGGTCTAATATACTGAGTAAGGAGATAAGACATAGGAGCAGAAGTAGGCCATTCACCCCGTCCAGCTCATCACTGATCTCATAATCAATTCCACAGAACCCTTGATTCCCTTACTGATTAAAAATCTGTCCATCTCAGCCTTGACTATATGATCAGCTCTCTGTAGTAAAGAATTCCACAGATTCACAGCCCTCAGAGAAAAGAAAATTCCTTCTCACCTCCTTCTTAGATGTGCAACCCCATTTTCTGAGATTATGTTGGTCAAGATAGGTAACTGCACCTCCTCCATAATAACACTCAACACTGGAGACCCCAAGGATGTGTCCTCAGCCCCCCTACTGTACTCCCTGTGCACCCACGACTGTGTTGCCAAATTTCAAATGAACACCATCTACATTTGCTGATGACACCAACATTGGTGGATGGATATCTAACAACAACGAGTCAAAATACAGAAGGGAGATAGAGGGCTTGGTGATGTGGTGCAATGAAAACAATTTGTCTCTCAATGTTGGCAAAACTAAAAAACTAGTCATTGACTTCAAAAAGAAAGGAGGAGAACTCACCCCCATCTACATCAATGGAACTGAAGTTGAGAGGGTGGAGAGCATCAAGTTCCTCAGAGTGATGATAACCGACAGCCTGCCCTAGACTTCCCATGTAAATGCGACAGTCAAGGCGGCACAACAATGCTTCTTCTTCCTCAAGCAGCTCAGGAAACTTGGCATGTCCATAAGGACCTTCAGCAACTTCTACAGATGCACCATTGAAAGCATACTGTCCGGGTGCATAACGGCCTGGTATGGCAACTGCTCTGCCCAGGACTGTAAGAAACTATAGCCCAGACCATCATGGAAGCAAACTTCCATCTATGGACTCCATTTACACGGCTCGCTGCTGTAGGAAGGCGGCCAACATCATCAAAGACCCATCCCACCCTGGTAATGCTCTCCTACAACCTCTTCCATCAGGCAGAAGATACAGAAGCCTGAACACATGCACCAGCAGGTTCAGGAACAGCTTCTTTCTGGCCATTGTTAGACTGATGAATGGACTTTCTTATCCTCAAATAATGCTGATCTTGATAATGTTGATCTTGCCTAGTGCACACCCTGTGCAATATAACCTGTATGCCTCTGTTTAAGCCTTTTTGATCTGTACATCCTTGTTTACTATGATCTGCCTATAATGCCTGTAAACAAAGCTTTTCACTGTACTTCGGTACGTCAATCAATGTGGGCCTATACTCTCCCAGCAGAACTCCCTCTAATTTTCTTTCCAACCAAGCAGGTCTTGAGGACCCATACACAGCAGCGACCCCAATCTGAAGGCAATGTCACAGTTGGTGTTCTGATATCGATTGCTGTGCACAGAACACAGGTGGGGTTGTTTGTGCAGCTTACAGAGAACATTGCCCACAAATTCTCCATATCTACCCTTTAAGGATCTGAAGAAAGATCACTCATTAACTCTAATTTCTCTCCACAAATGCTGCCAGACCTGCTGAGCTTTTCCAGCAACTTCTGTGTTTGTTTCTGATTTACAGCATCTGCAGGTCTTTCGGGTTTTATTTCCTTTAAGAATCTTGTAAGTTTCAATTAGATCACTGCTCATTCTTCTACATTCCAATGAGCACAGGCCCAGCATACTTGACATCTCCTCATAATACAGTCCCTCCATACCCAGGATCAACCTAGTGAACCTTCCCTGGACTGTCTCCAATGACAAAATATCTTTCCTTAGATAAAGGCACCATTCACTTAGCTTCCCCTCACAGTAACACTTATGCAACTGAATATTGTAAATGTGACAGTAGATGTTCTAACTGCATTTTTATACAAGAAATTAACCCTTATGTACTGTTGGTTAATTGTACCTTGTGATAAAATGGTTCCATGCCTAGCTGAGTGGATACCTGCACATAAAACATCTTGAGGAAACAGTGTACAAGAAACCAGATTAGGGGCAGTCTGTATAGTAAAGGTATAGAAGGAACAGAAAGTTACAATTTTTTTTTGTCTGCTTGAATTATCTGCACTATTGAAGGTTAACAAGTTGAAGCACTTCCCATCAGGAACTAAGGTTAAATAACAGCTCCCTGACCTCGTTCATCACCCAAATACCAAAAAGCCATGCTGTTTCCGTGAAAGTGGGCCGCCCCTTTTGGGTGTGCGTGGATTGTTATAAAATGTTTCTTATGAGCTTTAACACCTCCTACACACAGAGGACCTTCCCAGCCAGGTCAAGAGTACAGGTTCTAATCCCTTTAAAGCACCTGGCGAACATATGCATTCTGGAGTGAACTCATTAATTCCAAGACAATTTTTTTTCAAAAAATTGTCACTGTTTGAAACTGTTTCAAGGCAGGTTCCCAAAACCCTTTTAGTTTATGCAGCAGACCATTTATACATAGGGGGCCGAAGGAAGCCAGTCGGCCCTTCGATCAGGGCTGCTAGCAAGATATACAATGAACTAAAACGTGATCCCACCACAACAATCCTGTTTGGGTCAATACTCACTCAGTGTTGCAGACACTCCCGTGGCTGACACATTTCCATGTCCGTGCAGTGAGTTTCTGACTCAGCCCTGTTGAAGAGACACTGAATCATTGAAAGGAATTGTGATTCACACAAAAAATAACGTTATCCTACCAGGAAAACAAAATCTAATAATAGACACTACGGTCTTTTGTTCTATTTACATTTAAAGTATTGATACTAAGCTGAACAGAATTAAATAGAGATTTTCTGTCAATATATTACACGTATCTACATCATGCAGGCTCTGGTACCGAATTATTGAGAATGGCCAAGCTGCCAGTAAACAGGGAGACTGGGATATTCACATCTCCCAGATACAGCTCCAGGCAGCCTGCTAACCGCTCCCCTTTCGCTTTCCATTCCGAAAGAACATCATCAATGCTGCCGCTTTCTCAAAACAAAAATTAAAAAAAAGAATAAAGTGCAATAAAATGGAGGTCCGTGACTTGAGAAACGGAAGTGCTGAAATGTGCAGTTCGCATTGATCAACAGCAAAGCTCGACAGCGCCCACAACTCAGTGTGTGAGTCAGCACTGGGCTGGCCGCCTGGATCACTCACTCACAGCCTGGGACACCTTACACCAGCCTCCTGGGGGCTGGTACACTCTATACCACACTCCCACAGCCTGGGACACTCTACACTACACTCCCACAGCCTGGTACTCTCTATACCACACTCCCACAGCCTGGGACACTCTACACCACACTCTCACAGCCTGATACTCTCTATATCACACTCCCACAGCCTGGGACACTCGACACCACACTCCCACAGCCTGGTACTCTCTACACCACACTCCCACAGCCTGGGACACTCTACACCACACTCCCACAGCCTGGTACTCTCTATACCACACTCCCACAGCCTGGGACACTCTACACCACACTCCCACAGCCTGGTACTCTCTATACCACACACCCACAGCCTGGGACACTCGACACCACACTCCCACAGCCTGGTACACTCTATACCACACTCCCACAGCCTGGTACACTCCACACCACACTCCCACAGCCTGATACACTCAATACCACACTCCCACAGCCTGGTACACTCCACACCACACTCCCACAGCCTGGTACTCTCTATACCACACTCCCACAGCCTGGTACACTCCACACCACACTCCCACAGCCTGATACACTCCACACCACACTCCCACAGCCTGGTACACTCCACACCACACTCCCACAGCCTGGTACACTCTACACCACACTCCCACAGCCTGGTACACTCTATATCCCACTCCCACAGCCTGGTACTCTCTATACCACACTCCCACAGCCTGGTACACTCTACGCCACACTCCCACAGCCTGGGACACTCTATACCACACTCCAACAGCCTGGTACACTCTATATCCCACTCCCACAGCCTGGTACATTCTATACCACACTCCCACAGCCTGATACACTCTATACCACACTCCCACAGCCTGGTGCACTCTATACGACACTTCCACAACCTGGTACACTCTATACCACACTCCCACAGCCTGGTACACTCTACACCACACTCCCACAGCCTGGTAC